GTGGAGGGGATCCCCATTACCTGTAAAGAGCTTTGAGTGTCCAGAAAAGCGCCATATAAGTGTAAGCAATTATTAATTATTGTTAATTATTTAGGGAAGTGCCTTTTCCTGTCTGGTCTCAGCGACACCCAGCTGAATCACCTGGATGACCAGTCCTTGCCAGAGAAGTATGGGATAGGTTTCACAAACATGGTAGAGAGGACGACTCCAGGAAGTAAAGACCTGTCAAGGTGAGATGGGTGAGAAGGTGAGCTCTCGATTTGTGAGGCAGCCTCTCAGGCATGTCAGTCTGGCCAGTGGCTCTTTTCCCGAGATTGGCCACTTCTTGCGTGTTCTCAGCAGCCCGTAAGGTGTACCAGCATTAATTCTTTTCATCAGTTCTCATCATTAATCACGAATGCTGGATGTGCTTAAAAAAATATATTTTAACACATCTATTCCTACACTGTCTTTCTGTTCCTCTCAAAGTCTCTGATGCTCTGAACGTGCCTCACATTGCTGTGAGCAGCAGGCGGGTCCCGAGTGATGACTTCCAGGCAGTGGGAGGTATTCAGATTGCCTGGAATTCACACTGGACAGAAAGAAGTATCCAGTGATCCTCATAAGAACAGCGTGAATGAGGAGGAGGGTCCCTGGTATTTTTACTGAAGTGGGTTTCTCATTGGAGCGTGTGAATTGAGAGGACCGGTGAAATCTGTATTCTGTAGACAGGGATATCCAGGATATCACTTCAGTGGTAAATGTGATGTCGTAACAGTGTTCTCCATTTGCACTGTGAAAGTTAGGACCAGCCCCGCATCAACACAACCCACTAACCATGAACCTTTATATTTGGCCCACATCCAGAACTAGTGCTGAGCCAACTCAGGCTGCAAATGAGTGGAATTTCAGCCCATCAGCTTGTTTAATAGATTGGAGGATCACAGCTGGATGCTTCTTGATGAAGCCGATATGCTGGCATCTGTCAAGGTGACTCGGTAGCTTGTTCCAACAATCATACGCAAAATGATGTTTTTATTTTATTTCAGTACATGACGTGAATCGGAAATGGACTGTGAAGTTTAAAATGTATTTATTTTTATAGTTAAGGGATGTAAAACTATCAACAAGAGAAGTAGTGTTCCCTGAAAGTGATATTGTCAGGTACACTTTTATAGTAGTCTTTTCCAGTGCTGAGGTTGTGGTCTGAAAGCCATCTTATTTACTAGACATGTATTTGTGTCGCATTCCTTTTATTTACTGGATTTGAGAAACTGAACTGCAGTAATTGACAAAACGGTGACAGAAAGTCTCCTCTCCCAACATGACTGTTAATAAATCTTTACTTTTGCCTTTTCTTAAATATGATTTAAATCATATTAATAGCCAGGTTGTGCTTGTATACCGCTACATGCCAAGGTGAAGTGTACTTGTACTTGTGGCCAGTAGGCCTTGTAGACCAGGTGTCGGACCCTCAGACCAGTGTATCTGACTCCCCTCCTGCAGTATGAAGAGCATGAGGTTTAACTCAAGCCCTGCAGAGCAGACACTGGGACAGAGGGCTGGTCAGCAACAGAGGCAGTGAATGTTTTATTGAGATTGCGGGCGAATGGTAGTCCTGATGTCTTTCACGGGGTCTTACATTAAAAATCAGTTTTTACAAAATGGGCTGTGGTAGAGCTTATTCTGTAAAAAAACGGCTTCTCTTAAAAACCGGTGTTGGGGGCATTCACTCTTAGAATAAGAAAATATGCAAAGATGTTAATAACATTGGAAAATAAAAGATCTAAGCTAGTTTCTCCTGCATTAACAAGCGCTACTGTGTGTGACTGCTTAGCGGCAGTAATAGATTTTATATATTGGTGTGGCATGCAAGAGAATTGATGCGGTCGGAGAAAACGATCCGTTACAAATAGGAGGTCATCAGAAATAGCCAAGCGGATCAATCCATAAGTAAATTAATCCTAACCCCCCAACTTGTAAATGATTTTTGGCAAGAATATATCTGAGCGGTTGGTATAATTAGAGGCACCTGAGTCCTTTGTTCTCTGGCACAACTTTTGGCGGAAAGAGTAATAATTCAGGCACACTGAATTAAACAGGTATTTGTTACAATGACGACAAACTAAATAACACACAATATAAAGATACAACACTGCTGTCTTCCTGGACTCTGGATTGACACTTGACCATTTACCCAGAGCTTAATTAACTAAGGTAAATCAAGGTGGGCATGACAACCCAGTCTTTCTTGCATTGGAAGAATGGCACTACATCTGCTCCCCAGCCAACGGGACTTTGAGAATTGTAATGAGGCTTACTAACCAAGAGGACTCTCAGCCCACTGTGATTGATAGAGCAGTGATGGCTGATTGCCCTAGAGTTGCTCTTGGCTGTTCCCGACGGGCCCCAGGAGCCGTCTTCAGCCGTGTGGTTGGGTGGCTTGTCCCAGGCACCTGCTCGTCCATGGGATAAAAACTGCTTTCTGTTTCAGTCTGGAGTGTGATTTCACTTTATGTTCAACGGATGACTCTGGAACCTCATTTCGATGCTGGCATAGTGTATCAGGTGCACATTAAATACTTCAGTAAAGTCTTGTCTTGAAAAGATCGTTCCCCTGAGCTGCCTGTGAACAACTTGCCCTTATTACTTTCTTTAGATGAGCAATGTCCTTCATGTAGTACGAGTTTAACAAGAATTTAATACAGCATTATAAGTCATTAATTACTTTTGACTTCTGCATTTACTTTATGTATCAAACTTTGTCACTTTACGTACACTCCAAAAGAGGGCAGTAATGAGTCAGCTTAATCCTGTTTTCTTTATTCTTAACATTTCAGACAGTCTTCCTCCTTGAAATGTCTCAGAACAGTGGTCATACTATTTTTCTGCATTGGTCTTTGCTTGAGCAAGACTGTGAGGGTGGACTTGTTCTATGACTAGATGACTTTTAAGCATTTGCTTCGACACAACCTCTGAAAACTAAAGAAGAACAAGATCATTGCCGAAGCAGATGAATATTGATTCTCTTGCCAAAACTGCAAAACATTGTAGATCAGTTCTAAAGTGTTTCCAGATGTATTTGCTCAAGGGTCTACACCGCATCACGCAGTTCTTTATTTTTTTGTTTTCTTTAACACGTGCTCTAAATTATGTCAACAGAATTATTTTTCCATCGGTGATAGGAGGTTATTGTTTGTTTTTTATCACATCTTACAGCAAAGAGTTTCGTGAAGGTGGAAGGATTCTGGTAGAGAAGCTGAAGAAGTATAAGCCCCTGGTTGCTGCTTTCAATGGAAAATGTGAGTATTGAGACTGAGGTTTAAATTTTACATCTTTAAGATACATCATGGGTGAACTGGCTTCTTGTGCATTACTTTAAAAAGTTAGCATGTTTGTGAGTGCAGGTTGTATATCCTTTGTATCCCATTTGCAAACTGTTTTTCAAAGATGCAATCCTTTGTTGAACCCTTTATTGAAGGATTCGTAAAACTAAAAATGAGTGAGTTACCCTTAAAGGCATGATTTCCGAGAAATGTTAACAGCGGTCAGCCCTGTTCTTCATGGTCTCAGCGTGGGCTTTTTGAAAAATTAAGCCGAGGACTGACGTCTCTGGGCACTTAACTATTGCAGTCAGGCTAATCGGCTCAAATTAAATGTCTCCGGTTCTATAATGAAAGAGAATGTCTAAGCTCTGCACACAGGAAGAGATTGCTTTGTTTGTAGCCGTTTTAATTAACAAGGAAGATGGGATGCATTTGCCTTAGGCCTGGAATGACGTCCATGCAGTTCACACTAATAGATTGAAAGCATCAAATAATGTTAGTTTCAGAATGCCCTTTTATCCCCTAGATTTCTGATGATCTTTTTTATGATGTCAGTCAAAGCTATGGATTATGGTACCTGACATTGTATTTGTTCTTTGGGGGGGGGGATTTTAAAAGCCATGAAAGGTAAAATAAGAAAACTTTCATTTGTCCTTGGTTTTCTCTGCACTGTTGCAGTCATCAGTGTTGGCCAGGTGTTTTATTCAGTTAGTTCTTTTATTCCACATTAATAGAGGTAGTTTCCTTTTGATAAATGTAACGAACAACTGTCTGCCTTCATTTGTGTTTTGTTTGCAGGTATTTATGAAATATTCAGCAAAGAAATATTTGGCTTCAAGATCAAGAAATTTGAATTTGGTTTACAGCCTCACAAGATCCCGGAAACTGAAACAGTAAGCGGTCTCGTCTGTTAAATACAGTGCTGGTGTCGGAGGCAGGAGGTTTTTAAAACGAGGAATTTCTACTGATTGTTTCCCAAGTTCCTCCTGAAGTGGGGAATGTGTGGTGGTCACATGACCCTTGGGTTTCCAGGGCTCTCCAGCTTTGAGAGACCCTTCCTGTGTTCCCAGCAGTGCAGCACAAGACTGTTCGGAACGTGCATGGAGGCTGATGTCAGCTGAATACATAGATGTTTATGCTATAGTGCATGGCTGGATTGGACTGCACACGTCTGGATAATGGATGTGCATGTTGACCCACGCTGCCCCCTGCAGGTGTGCTACGTGATGCCCTCGTCCAGTGCGCGGTGCGCCCAGTTCCCCCGTGCGCAGGACAAGGTGCACTACTACATCAAGCTGAAGGATCTGCGGGACCAGCTCAAGGGCGTGAGCGTCCCCGAGGAGGTGCAGGAGACGGAGTACACCTTCGACCTGGAGAAGGCCAAAGGTACAGAGCCCAGGCCATCGTGATGTTCGGAGTCCTCCCGCTCAGGAAGAGGCTGGTCGTTTTCAGTGATGTGAAGCGAAGCGGCCATCAGTGCCGGGCTGTGATCTCTGGGGCGAGCCCGGTGTCGAGAGGGCGGCAGCGAGGCCCGTGCAGAAGGGACCGCGTGCGCTCGCTCGTTGGCGTAGCTGGCCCGGCTGCCGTAAAGCGCTGGGTTAGCACAGACCGCTGAGCTGCCCGCCGCCGACAGGCCAGACGGGCCAAGGGACCTCGCGTTTGTGACCTTTCTCTGCTTCTTCCCCGCAGAGGATGCAAAGAAGATGGCCATCAAGGAGGAGCAGTACGACCCAGGTTACGAGGCTGCTTTTGGAGGGGCGTATGGGGAAGTGGGGCCGGAGAGCAACGGCCACTGCAACTTCTCATCGGTCGGGCCAGGTACGGTGCGGAGAGCGGCCTCCCCCTCCTGGGGGCGCTCCCTCGTCGCGCGGACAAGCGGCAACGGGCGGGGGGGGTCCGGGGGCTCTCGTTCACGGCCGTCTGTGTTGCAGAAGCCGCCAGCGGGGGCGCGGTGCCTGCCCTCGCCGTCGGGCAGCTCCCGGACGGGCAGTGGATGACCCAGTCGTTTGCGGATCAGATTCCGGACATCGGCGGCTGCGGCGCTCCCCAGCCGCGAGGCGCCGAGGCCGTGCAGTGAGGCTGAGCCCGCGGGCCCCGCGAGAGCACGGCGGGCCTGTCGCCGCGACCAAGACACCGAACCTCAGTTCCCCAACTGAAGAGTCATTGTGCCGGGACTGTGTTCATACCGATCAGGTATCTCGTACTGCATCCATCCGAGAATTTATATAGTGAGCTGTTACACGATGAATTTTACGTAGATTAGTCGATTCTATGGAAACTACTATTTAAGGATGGTAGGGTTTTTTTTTTTGGTTTTTAATTGCTATTTAATGTAAATCATACATTGTCATTTTTTTTAATGGAAATTTTAGAGGATCAGAAACTTTTACAGAAAGTGCAATTTTACTACTTCTCAGTCTTACATTCGTAAATGTAATAGTGCTCCTGACTTGATTTTTTTTCCACTGGTTTGTTTTCATAGACACAGAAAATCAGGGTTCTCCGATGATACTTGATTGGTGGTTTTACTAGTGAGGGCTTTATCAGGGGAAGTGCCCTAGTCCTGGATTTGATGTTTAAGCTTTTACTTTGCTTTTTTTAAAGCAAAGCCAGTAGTTCACATAAGGAGTACTTTATAAACAAAACACTTCATTCTGTTTTCTGCCTGCCTGGTTTTCTTCTTAACAGCATTTTTACCAGTTTTACACCCAGGTGTAAGACTGATGACCACATTGGCTGTGGAACGGAGTGGTGTTTAAGCTGCTGACCAGGACAGGGTCCCAGAATAGTCTTGTCACACAAGTTACAATTCTACAAGTAGGTTAAAGATCTCAAAACGGTCATAAAACTGCTATAGAAACCAATGGTTGAAAAGAACAGTCTTGTTTTTGTGTAAACCAAGTTAATAAGTCTGCCCAAGAGGATGACAATACCAAATCTCTGATCTAGAAATAGCCTGCTAGCTGTGCTGTGAGCGTAGCTGTTGAGCACAAGGGTGAAAACCCATCAGCTGCCTCTTTCTTTTGTTGCCAAACAGATTGACTGACTTCCGCTTAGTGATCGATTAGGGTCGGCTTGGTCACTTGAAAGATCTCATCATGTACTGTGCCTTTTATAAGAAAACGGCAAATGATTTTGTTTTTGAAAACCGTTTGGGCAGCTCTGTTATTCTCAGAAGCTGTTTGGAGGCTCATGAAGTGTAACGTATTTCTCCACTTCGTGGTATCACATCGCGACAGCCCCCTTTTTTGACAGAGGTGTGAGAAATGGTCTGGTCAGTGCAGCAGCCTTTATGTTTACTTGTCAGTTTTCGGGTACTGTATTGTTTTTCCTCCGTGTTGTGCAACACATGAAACTGTACTTTTTATGAAGTAGGGGTAAGGTTTTACTACCAGTGTAACAAAAAGCCTTGAGGGGAGGGAACACGTAGGGGTAGTGAGTTGTGACAGGGTGGCTGCGTGGAGCTCAAGGTGCAGGTTTATTTACAGCCAGGTCACACCCTTGCAGTCCCCCAGTAATCGCCGTGCAGGTCCTCAAGCACCTGGCCAGCACTGCTCTCCAGGTGGCCAGGTCCTCCTCGGCTGCAGCCGTTCGCCTCTCCGCCCTGCTCGGGCGGCATAGCTCGTCCTCCCCTCGTGTTGCTGCCAGTGTTTCAGCTCAGCACCAGGCGCGCTGCTCTGGAATGTCTGAAAGCAGCAGTGCCTGCAGTTGTGTAGTCTGCCCAGCCGGTGAGGCAGTCCTTTGGTTGGCTTGTTGACCGATGGGGAACATGGGCTGTTCTAGACAACAGTCCTGCTAAGAGAGCTGCCCAGTGCTCCCACAGCCATCTGCAAGTCCCTGCCACTTGCTCCTAGGATGAGAAGTGGATATTGTTGTCTTTGACTGCACAAGCTACTGCAGGTTCTGGCCAGTAATGGCGTGTGGGGTTCGCGTCTCTGCGTGCGTTGAGGTGAATCCCTTCGCCCAGTCTGCTTCCATTTCCACTGAAGGCCCTGCTCTAATGTCGGCCATCGCTGGGCCTGTTCCACCTGGTTTTTAAAAAAAACGTCCTTCATATTCACCTGGCATCCCGCTCTGATGCTGCTGAGAAATAAACCTGCACCTGCTCTGCGGCTTGAATCGAGCGGTGTGGACCGTCCCTGCCTACGTCCAGGACCTGCCAGTCGACGGGGGCAGCCGGAGACTTCGGAGATTTTTCTCTCCCTGACCCCAGGTCTTATCGGAGGACCTGGGTGCCAGTTGGTCAATATTTCCTGAGACTAATGCTCTCCTAACAACCTTTTTACAAATTCGAGAGACCTGTTCCCTCAAGTTGAGAGATGAAATTAAATTGGAAAGGTATATAAAAAGGAAAAGGAGTTTTAAGGCAACCAGAAGAGAGCTCTATGCTGAAGTTGCTTAAATATTGCCTTGTGGTGTTCATACTTCCACAAAGCCTTTTGACACAGAACTTCCTGAGCCAGTCTAGAATTTTTTTAAACAAATGAGCAAGCAGTTTTTAGAAATGAGATCATCATAGCTAGATTGCCCAGTTTTCATTACATTTCATCAAAAGCAAATAATGCTGTTGGGTTGAAGTAAATAGAATAAGTCTCTGGAGAAATAATTCTATATCAGTTGAAGCAGATTTTTTTAAAGAAACATTCCATATTAATAATTCATGTTATTTACAGAAAAACTGTGAAGGCTTATTAAGAATTCACTCTTTGTCTACAGCATTTTAAATAAGACACACTCACATTCTTATCTTTAATGAATCTGTGGTGCTCTAAAGAATATACACTCTGGAAACAGTGTTTCTAAGGGAAAATGCTTTGTTTTGCAGTCTGTATTTTAGTGTTCTAAATGTTGACAGGCTTGTGGCGTTTTGTTCTGTATTTTTAAATCTGTGGATCTGTGGTGCAGAATTGTGCTAATGCAAACCAGATCCATGTGGAGCTTGGTGGTTCGTGCTGTGGAGGGTCTCCCTGTTCCACTGGTGAATTAGGAATGAATGCAAACCAGTGTAATTACAGGACTCTCTATGCACAATTGATCATGGTGCTCTAAAATCCAATGGCAGCTATTTAAACTCTTGAGCTGTACTGTCTGTGTACATTATGTAAAGGTGTATCTTAATGTGTTGATGAAGATCGGTGTTCAAGCACATGAGCAATCTGACCTTCCAAATAAAGGTTTTGCAAACCCTTAGTCACTTCAAACATTGATGTGTTTTGTTTGAGTCGAGTAAAACTGGTGACTTTGTCTCTGTATGCAGTTTTGCAAACTCAGAAAAATATCTAGTAGTTAAAACCCTGTACAATTTTTCAAATTTTATATGTGGAGAAGACACATTTCTTCTGAATTGAAGTAATCCATTCTTGGTACATTTTTCATCTTCTTTTACTTTCCTGAAAATTATTTTCCATAAATGATTCATCCCATTTTCATTTTTGCAACATGATGCATGCCTAGTAAACGTGTCCTGCAGTGCTGATAATGGCGAAGTCACTCATGCACATCTAACTTTAAACACAAACCACAGCAAAATATTTTTTTACACTGCCGCGTGGCTCTCGAACTGAAGTTTCTTCACAGCAAGTCACAGCACGGTGGTGCCTGGGGGCCTTGAAAAGCTCTGTTCTGACTGTGGTTGCACAATAATGCAGGCATACTGCTCAGAGGCATAACTGAATGTCTGGGCTCCTTGTGGCACAAATACCTGAGGGCATAAACAGAGATGGGCGCCACCAGTCCTCCAAAGCCACAAGCTTCTCTGGTATTTGTACCACCCCTGACGATATTGAATGCATTGAAGTATTTATATGAATTATGCATCAGATCATCCCTAGTTTTTGCCCTGGATCAGCTGCTAGTTGAAGGCTCTCAGGACTGGGACGGCCTGATCCTGCTGCACACGATAATGGCGAGCTTTTTAATTGACAAGACGTAACCTCCATTATCGAGCCCTGTCTGGTGCCACACCCTCCCTACAGAGCTTGAGGACCATTTTCCAGGCCAAACCTCGGGGCTGAGGGAGGGGGAGGCGCAGCTTCAGCTGCTGGGCCTGACCAGCGCGAATTTCCCCATGGGGTCTGGGATGTACCAGCGCTCCCACAGCTCCATGTGCACACAGGGGTAGTCCCAGGGCTTGAACCTGCCGTTCCAGTGCAGCAGATGGGCCTCCTGCAGGAACTGGTCTGAGTACCGCGTGTCCGGACTCCAGCCTGGCCAAGAGAGAGGGCAGTGAGGATGAGGTTGCGCTCTTCAGTCGGCTGTTCTGTTTGTTTGCAGGGATGCTCCTATATAAATTGATGTATGTATCCTGATTGTGCGATAGCTTTCAATAATTAGAAGATGTTGCCAGGAAAATGTCATCTCTCAGTTTCAATGCAGAATTTATACTGGCCACAGTGGATATTCCCATTCTGTTAACATTTAATAAATTTGCTTAGTATGTTTGTTCCGTTGCCAGAAAAATCAGCTGTTTTTAATTTCTTTAGAGAGAACGGGCAGCTTGGCTCACAGAGCACAGCTGTGGAATTCAAAGCCACATTGTCTTTGTATTTGGTGGATTCAGTGTTGTCCAGATTTTTTAACTAAGCGAGTCACATAAACCTTTAAAAGTGAGTGTCCTGATTTTTTACCCTTAAGCTTAGCACCAGGTTTAGGGGTGCTAACGTTGTTGTTTTTCAAACTGATAGCAAAACGAATCGCATAAAAGTGAGCCTGATTGACAAAGATTCCTTGTCCTGGTTTGAGTTCTACGCCGATTTAAATGGTTTTCAAAAGTACCGGGGGTTTTCCCTGTCCTCGGACAGCCAGGGGAACCCTTTGCCTGCAGTGCTGCAGTTGTAAAAGCGGGAGTCTGTGAAGGGAGGAAGCTGGTGTTCTGAGGGCGGCGCGAGAGGCTCTCACCCAGATGCCGGACGTGCCACAGGGGGGCGATGCTGGAGTGTTTCTGGTAGAAGACGATCAGCATGGGGGGCGTGGCCACCCCTCCAGCCATGGCGCTGCTGTACAGGTTGTCTCTGAAACACGAGGGGAATCGGCCCAGTGAGCTGCTTGAGCATCCCCATGACATTTTGTCCCCCCCCCAGAATGCTCCAGTGACATTTTCTAACCCTTATCAAGAGGCGTTCATAGGCACCTGTCTCGTCTAGCAGAATTCGGTTTTTAATCGCCCTCTCCCGGAGGACTGGAGGGGGCTGGGTGTGGCTCAGGTACGGCACCTGGCCGATGTTCTGACCTGAGGTTCTGCTGCATCCACTTCTCGAGCTGCTTGGTGATCCTCTGGCGTCTCCACTCCGTGACGTTGGCGACCATCACGCCAGGATTGAAGGAGCAGGTGCCGGGGCTGATGCCCAGCTCGCGCACCTCCGGCTTCCTGTAGTCCAGGAAGCCCATGTAGGTTGTCTGGGAAGACACGGACAGAAAGGCTTGTTTCCCCTGGAGCTGGGAGCCCTGGGTCTCACTACACCTGCAGCTGCAGGAGGAGTCTCCATGCTTAACAGACAGGAGGTACACGTTTGGATTGAAATTATACAAGACGGAGTCAGCATTTCAAAAGTAAAGCAGCACTGATCTTACATCCTGTTTCATATACACGGGTCATATACTGAAGAAAGCACTTGACTCTGAGCGCTCCAGTAAAGTCCCTGCTGTATAAATGGGTCAAAGTCATCATTGTAGATGGGTGTTTGCTCTTGACTTACGTGGGGGAAAAAAAACACGAATAAAGCACAAAATAAGCAAGATGGGGCAAATGTCATCATCGTATCTGTACTCTTTCAGTTCTTGGTATGTGTCAATACCTGTTGTGTTGGCCTGGCAGGCCAGCGTTCAAAGCAGCGCTTTGACTCAACGGAAACTTCAACAGTTTGTTACAGGAGTGTTTGCCACTGGTAAGTGAAACCGTCCGCTCCAGGAGTTCTTCAGACAAGGCACACATGATTTAGCTCAGCAAGGTGAGAAACAATTCTTAAAGTATATATTAAAAAAAAATTTTGTTTTTCCTTGTTTTTTTTTTCTTCCCCTTTTTTTGGGTTTTTTAAGTTTTCAACTTGCTTCTTTTTTCAAAAAAGAAATCCCATCATACCCTGACTGTAACACTGATGAATATTGCCCAGCAGCAGCCACGATACGGGCAGGTACACAAACCCCAGAGACGTTCACCAGTCCCATCACACGTTTCTGTAACGCCAGCCATTGCCGAGAAGAGCCCTGTTCTGTCTCTCCCGTCTCACGAGCCACTTCAGTTAATGGCTGTAGGTATATAAGTGTGTCCCACACCACACACACATATTTCCTTGTGAAGGTCGTTGGCGCTGATCTTCCAGCCCTCTCCTCCATCTATCACTCCTGTGTTTTGTGTAAAGCAAAATCCGTCTAATAACTTCCATTTACTCCCATCAGAACACCGGCTCCCCAACTGCAAAACCAGCAGATTTAAGTGGTCATACCTGTAGCCATATCGTTGCTTAATGCTTGACTACAAAGTACATGGTTGTTCCTGTTTTGCTTTTTCTTCTGGCCATCTGTACACCAACACTGCTGCTGTAAAAACAAGGGCCCCCCCCCCCCCAACACGCGTGTGCACAGCTGGCCTCACCTGCATCCCCACACTGCGCACCATCTCGTGGGTGGACGGCAGGTCGCAGTCAGAGGCGAAGGCGGCAGCGTGGCCAGGCTGCAGGCCGGTCCTGTACAGCTCCTGGATGTCCCCTGGGGGCAGAAGCAGAGGCCGCATCAGCAGAGTCTGGGCCCCATCGCCCTGCCCTCGTCGCCGGGTTACGGGCCCTATCGCACTGCCCTCGTCGCTGGGCTACGGGCCCTATCGCACTGCGCTCGGAGTCAAACTGCAAGACAGCGGTGAAACTCTGTCCAGGGGTTGCTAAGCTCCCCCAGATAGTGGATTCCAGCAATGTCTGACCCAGGAGAGCCTTTAATCCTTTCACCCCAGAGAATGTTTTAACCCCCATCAGTGAAGGTGAGAGAGGTGTCTGCGGTATGAAAACCACACGCCTGATCACCGTTACCAAGTTCAAATATATTTTGTACCTTGAACAATGACGTCGTCGTCCAAGTAGATGACTTTCTTGTGTTTGGAGACGAGCATTGGGAGGTAGAAGCGTACAAAATTCAACTGGAATGAAGAAAAATATGGAAACGATGAAGGAATGCTTTGTGCATGGTACAGTTTACAGATGACATACCTGCTTTATTACAAAAAGCAGTTGATGACTGTGTTTTTTACAGTGAACGAGGGTGAAAATTGTGCTGTTTTGCAGGAAGAGCCATGAGCTCTCCCGTCTTGCCTGTTGCGCGGGCTGCTCTACTCACAGGGTGCAGAAGCTCAGGTCTGGAGGAAACTGGCCGCACTTTGCTCTTCAGTATCATGGGGTTGAACTCCAGGATTTTAAACTTGATTTCCTTTAACTCGGAGTTCTCAATCCATTTCCTGAAAAAGGGAAAAGGACTGTAATCCAGCTGTGTAGAGGCAGTCTCTCTCAGAATGAACCGTCCGGGGTTTATTTTGAATGACTTCCCAGGAGAAACATTTCTCTGTCACCAGTATCTTTTGAGCAGCACACATAATCTGTTGGGCTCCTCAACATCGCTACACAACAGTTGCTGTAGGGCGCCAGGCTGCTCGTGATAAGTGATATTTATAAGCAGAGTTCTCTCATGGCAAACACTTATTTTTGAAGCAATAAAGTGTTAATTCACTCTGCACCAGTGTATATGAAAGAGCAAACCAAATATCTATTAAGTGCCAACTACTAGCGTCAAGACGTGTTGAAGTGCCGCAGCTGGAGATCGCCAGTCTTGCTCACTGTGTCGCTGCGGGCGAGGGGGAGACCGGGCAGCGGCTGTTGGGCAAGGAAGCACCGAGCGCGACCTGGCGGACAGTGGGACAGGACGTGTCACCGGACCTGACATGGCTGACGGAGTCCCGCAGCGTCACGACGTAGAACAGCAGCGGGGCCTCGGTGTTGCTGTACACGCTGTTGATGGCCGCGATGGTGCCGCCCATTCGATCCTCCGCCGCGCAGATGACCACCAGGATCTCCTGGTCGGGCCCGTCCTCGGCGGCGCCGCGCTGGTTCACCTTTCCTGAAATGACAGCAGGCGCCACAGGCGCCCCGTGAACCTCCGGCGTGACTCACGCCAGCCCCCAGCCAGGGGGCACACGTGACCCCAGTAGACCAAGAACAGGGGACACTCTTTACACACATGGTTCATCTTTGGATCAATTAACCACTCAGTACCAAACCCGCTAGACGGGGTGAATTACTTCATCTCATTTGATACTGTTCTTATGTTCTTCACCAGCCTTAGGACAGCACTGCTACAACCCCTCTAATTAGAGTCACATTACAATACAAACCTAACCACACTATCTCACCGACTGTGACACAACAATACAAACTGGAGAGCAACCGGGACCTATACAGAGAATACACAACAACCAGGGTGAGGGGCAACAAGGAGCAAGAGACCATGATGAAGTACAGTGTCCACAGCCTGGCCATAGACACTGGACACAGACGGACCTGGCTGTCCAGAGAGGACAGGCACAGTGAACACTGGCCATACTATAGAAACTGGGTAACACAGACAGGCCTTGATCTCCCCAGAACTAAACTATCACATAATTCTTTGACTTGTTCTGTTAATTCTGAATTCAGAAAAAGATAAATGTACAGTTTACGTAAAAGAAAATCAAAATATATATTTATGTACTCTATATATTATCAAAGACAAAATTAACACTACAAAATAAACAAGTGCAGTCATTCTTGAAGGACTGTATGCAGTACTGTATATTCCTATCTTGTGATCCCATGCCAATAATGTTTTTATATTCATAAAAAGATGTATTATTAAGTGCTAGGTATTTTCATATTTTGAAGTACTTTGATTATAAAACTGTGGTTCCTCTCTAATTCCATCGGCTGATTTCCTGTCTTGGTTCAACAAGCATAATTGCTTCAGTCTGTTAATCAGTCCCTCTCTTTCCTGAAGTCACCTGTGCTCTTCTGACAGTACAGCCCTTCTCTCATATGAGAACTGAACCTTTACTCCTTTACTGGGGAGACAGACCTCTTCAAAATAAATGTATGTATGTATGTATCCATACAGTTAAGAAAGGAAGAGATAGGTAAATGAACTCTGGCTTCCCAGGTGCCTGATTAGGCTGTTTTCAAAGGCAACCTGATCTTCCCCGGCAGCTCAGACTGCAAGAGCTGGTCCTGCTGTACATGGCGGCCCAGTGATCTGAGCACGGCCAGTAGAGAACTAGACTGGTTTACTAAGGAAGCTCAGAACCGCCTGCTCGTAAGTCTAGCAGCAGTTACTTAGAATAACGAAAAAGAGCAGATATGTCCCAATACAACAGGATCAGTCTCTCTGTGCTGCACACGCGACGCTGCCTCTGCGCTGTCCTCTGCCATGCTCGGCGCACCTGGGTCACTGCTCTTGGGGGCGGCCCGGTGGACTCGGCTGTACAGGACGAAGCCCAGTAGGAGGAGCAGTAGCAGCACCAGGAGCTGGTTCACTGAAACACAAGAACAGGAGGTCAGCAGCAGCAGGAGCTGGTTCACTGGAACACAAGAGCAGGAGCAGCAGCAGGAGCTGGTTCACTGGAACACAAGAGCAGGAGCAGTAGCAGGAGCTGGTTCACTGGAACACAAGAGCAGGAGCAGCAGCAGAAGGAGCTGGTTCACTGGAACACAAGAGCAGGAGGTCAGAGGACAACTAGAGGTCAAAGAGCACAAGCACACATTTCCAGTGTTTTCGACAGTATTACACTCTTACTTTGTCTTATTTAATTCTGGACATATTAAAATTTGCCCAAGCACACCAGAAGCAGTGCCAACCCCCTCGCAGCCAGGAAGGAGGGGGAGGGGGAGATCTGTTGCTGTTTCCCTTTGTTTCCTGCCACGGGGGGGGGTGCACGATCCACAGTGAAAGATATTTTGGAAAGAGGGGAGTCTTACGGCACACTCCCCCTCAAGCCCACACTGCTCTGTGCAACAGACAGGCCCGGCACTGAGAATCCTGGATCTGTGGAAAACACGCTGCTTGTTTAACAGCAGGCGCAGGAGGTGAATTTGAGTTCTGGCAGTGGGTTAAGCCCCAGGGAACGCAATACAACACCACCAGATCCCGGCAGCAGGCAGTATTGGTCTCTGGAATACAGCCATCTCTTCTGTACAAGGCAGTTCAAGTACAAGTCTGTCCTGCCCAGACAGACTTAGACTGCCGGATTGCTGTGTGCACGTTCAGATTTCCTTCACGCCCCGGGTGTGCATGTCTTACAAACTCTAGTGTGCATACAGCCCTCGGTCTCATGTTTCCTGCAGCTCCGGCCATCAGCAATGCTGGCATCTCTTCCATCAGCCCCCACACGCAGGCTCCGTGCAGGACTGCCCTGTTGTTACACCCAGAGCTTCTCTGCACCACAGAGTCTGACACCATCACTTCACCTCATCAAACAGATCACACTGATGTGGATTTCAGGAGCTGAGTCCAATTACTCAGTACCAGCCGGGGTTCATATGAAAAGTAACTCACCCTTTCTCAAAAGAGGCATTTCTTCCTCTTCAGTGTACAGCCTGAAAAAGAAAAATCAAATATTAGAAAGAAAACTGTCTGCATCAATGAGGGTAACCAGAAGGAGTCTGGAACAAGCTGCCTAGCTGTGCAGGTGAAATTGATACATTGGCTTATTTAAAAAAATGGCTGAATGAGATCCTGGGATCAATTAGCTTTTAATAACCAAACTAGGTGTTGTGTTGACTGGCTCGCTCTCATTTGTAACCTTCCTTGTGCTTTTGTGTTACTGAGCTCGCCGTCTGTGTTCATTAAGACCCTGCAGCCAGAGCAGCCCAGGTCAAATCCAGTTCTCTGTGCATCACATCACCAATCAGAATCAGAGATCATAATCAGTCATCGGGGCCTGGAGAATTCCCCACTGACAAAAAGGGTGAGAAAGCAAAACCAGCTAATTCTAGTCCAGGGAGTTAACTTCAGTTACATGTACAGAAATGGGAACAAATTATCGGAACAACTAGAATCAAAGATCATCACCACACCTCATCACCAATCATCACCACTAATTATCACAAATCTCAAATCCTTTGTAAGCAGAGGCTCCCAGCACTGTCTTGAGACAGTGATGTGTTTTAAAACCTCCAGATTATTATCCAGGCTGTCAAAACCTATATCACCGCTGACTCAGATATACATCAATTTCCAAATGGCAAGGAAGGGGGCACAAGTGGGGCAAATAGACACAA